CAATGACTGTTCTACTCCTTATGATCTCCGAAAACCTTCCTAAAACCAACGAAGGTCTACCAATGCTAGGTGGCTTATAAATTACCCTTATACAGTCTTACTCGCTGCGGATGCTGGGCGCGTCTTAGAGCAGAATATGGCGCGGCGCCAACCCGCTTTCCATCAATTTTGGTCTCCACTTTTCTCCATTTGGTGCCATCTCCTCCCAATGGCACGCCGCAGCATCCGCAACGAACAGGACTGCATTTACGCTACCTCTAAGTTACTTATCAGTTGCATGTCAGGACTCTTTGTGCTAGTTGAGATCTTCATCGGCGCACTGGCCACGGCAACTACTGTCTACGTCTCTCAGTTACAGAGTAAGAATCTTGCCTACTTGTTCCAGTTTCCTAATGTTTTCTTGATGACCATAATTACACGGTGCAGAGGATGTACAGCCCCAAGGCCAGTCAAGCCTTCCATGAGCGCAGAGTCAGTGAATCAGTACCACATTTGTCTGGAAGATGAAGCATCAGCTCTGCCTTGTGGCTCATAATGTAGGCATTTCCGCATTCTAAATGCTCCACCATTCTGAAAGGAACTGGAATGCATGGCCCATTCCGAGAGGAGTGAATGCGCAGAGTTCCACTCTTAGTCACTACCTCATTATGCTGGTTCATCTTGCTCTCGGACTGGAAGAAGAATGGAAATGAACGTCTTCCGTAATGAGTAAATGGGTGGCATGCAATTCAATTAAGAGGGGCTGGAGAGAAAATCGTGTGGAATGGACCTCCAATATCTACGCTGTGAATAGAGCAGGTCTTGCAAATGGGGGAGAGAACTTTGCATAATACAAGCTTACTTCTCAAACTCTCCTCCACATTCCTACAAACCATCTTCGTGAGTTTTTCGAACCTCCCCTTTTTACCCCGGAAATTCCTGAAACTTCCTCTACTTTTTTATAACCAAAGTTGCACTAGTTGCGCGGAGGGGATTGTATTGCACTTGGTTGCCGGGTGGAGAGGTTGGGGAGCAATAGCGCATTAAGAGAAGAGCAAGGGCGGCTCTGAGAATAGGTCATAGGCAGCACTTAAGCACGGTTTTCTGGTGAGAAAATTGCGGCATCTTTCGCGAGATCGACCAAACGTACGAGTGCCCTGACTGGGATGAATGTCAGAGGGCGCTCTATTCTCCGTCTTCGACCTGCCTGAACCTCATTAGATCCACAGATAAGTACCGAAACTATGTCCGACTTATCCACTTTATGTCTCAGAAAGGGCGATAAGGGCTGAGCGCAGCTTTAGTGTGAAAACGGCTGCGCAAATGCGGGGCAGAGGCAAAAAGACGAGCATAATCGGCGGAGCCTGATGGCTCTCTCCAAGGAGTCGTAGCGCCTAGTGACAGGAATGGGGTGTTTGCCAAGTTATTAGAAACAGAGGGCAGCGCATTCGCTGAAGGCTTCTTCGTTCATTAAAAGAGCCAAGATCTCCACAAAATGCTCTGGAAGAGAACCTGAGCTCCTTGTTCAATAAGCAACAAATTTGGGCTTGGAAGGGCACCTTGCTGACCTTCTTCATCACTGCCGATGCCTTTTGTGGAGACCTCTAAAGCTATGCAGTAGCACAGATTTCGTTATCAGTTGACAAAAGTCTATACATGCTGTCCAATTTGGCAGCAAAAGCAAAAGAAACTAGTGAAAGGCAAATGCTCGGCAAAGTTCTAAAAAAACTACATGAAACAGTTCACTTCCAGGTAGTTGGCGTCGGGAAAAGAAGGTACCAACATGGTTGATGGCTTTGGCACGTTTTCAATTTTTCGGTCGAGTACACCGAAACGATTCGAATGCCGAACTGTTCGATGAGGAACTTCACCGGACGAATAATATGTTGAGAAAGGTTGGATTGAATTTCTACTGGAACATTCTCAATGACTAATTGCAGGACCTGAATGCTCGCAGTACAATTCTGGCATACATCGGCAACTTCGAACGCAATATCAATGTGATTTCGACCAATCTCCAGAGGTTAGGCTTCTTTCAGATGGAAAAAAGTTTGGACTCAAAGACACACTTTCTCTTATGGGATAATACACGAGCGGAGACAGTCAACCACCATTACTCATTGTTGCGCCGCGCTTCATTTGAATAAGGAAGTGGGACCATACTGTAGTTTGAGTCCAGTGCAGTACATCTACATTGTTCCTTTAAATTCAGGTTCGAAGCAAGTAATGGCAAACGTTCTTTCAGGAAAGCCGCCCAAAAACGCCTGAGAATGCGATGGGTTCTGGTGTGCGAACGTTTGGACTCGTTACTACTAATGTTCTTTCTCACCATTAACTCGCTGTTCTTTGCCGTTCTGTTGCTTATCGGATATCTGTCCAATTGAAGATGGTCTTCTTTTATTTCATTTTTAATATATAACAATTTCCATAGTACAGAGAAGTAGAGCAATGTATTCTGCGATAGTAACACAGTCATATTTTCAAAAATTGCTGTGAAAGTAAATAAATGAGTTTACCCTAATACCAAGTATCACTACGATTATGTAATGGAGGTAGATTCGTGGCCCTAAAAAAAAGGGCTGCTCCTAAAAACGGCGAAAGACTCCATTATTTCCCTATATACCCGAACAAAGAGTTGGCAGCAGCTAGAGAGTCAGCTTAACTTATCGGGCACACTCTACATATGCAGATCTATTTAGCACAAGCACTAGAAGCAGATGGTCACCATATTTTCATAAACGCTTAACTGCAAAAGCGGGTCTTCGAGTAGGATCGCTTGATGGCTGGGCGGATCCTTGACGATTTAGAACATTCTGGGCGTATTATAGTAGTAGTAGAAGAAAGACGAATGCGAGCCATTTTCGAGCGTGTTTGAAAACGCGGCTCTCAGCGGTACGTTGTTCAATAGAGTCCAGCTTCTCTCTTCATAAAACCTCGACATTATTCTGAACTTTAAGTTGAAATTTGTTCATGCGCAAAGAGGTTGTAGGGAAGACGTTGTTATAAATGGCTCTGACGTTTGACTAGGATCGTCGCTTCTAAGAGGCGCAGTCCACCACCAACGTTGAGCGGAACGACGCCACTCGCTGTTAGTTGTTAGTTAGTAAGACTTACTGTCGAAACGTCAAGCCATTTATAATGAAGTCTTTCACCTACAAACCTCTTTGGCAGAACAAATTTCAGCGGCTCTCAGCCTCCAGGATGGAACGTAGGAAGATAATGGAGAATTCGAGAAGTGGGTGCAATTGTAGGTGATAAGAATCTGCTATGGTAGCGACGATACGCTCGATCCATTTTAGGGGCGACGAGCCGCGTACAGAATCTGTTGGCGTTCACGTGTGGTATGCTCTAGTCGAACTACTTTTTCGCATGCCTGCTCATTTAACAACAGGACAGCGGTGAGCAATGGCCTTTCCTTTGACAGACACGCAGATGGTTCATGCTGTCGAAAATACTATATTGAAATAGAAACTATATAGAAACTAGATGAACGATATATAGAAACTCTTTATTGTACAAAAAGATCAAGGGTCCGCACTTTGGTGGTCCAGCCGTTTTCGCGGCTTCACTGGTGACGAGAGCGACGTGACTTATCCTTCTTCCTCCAGGACCTTTGGGATCTCTGGAAGTAATTCTCTATGTATTTGATATTCTCCCTAGACAAGTCACTAGTAGGATGGGTAAGCCACATCCTTAGGATCAGGTCAGTTATTAGATGGGCAAGCCACACGTAGAATGCTTCAACCTCTGGGGCCGTGATTATCCTGTTGGGGGACCTACATCAGGCGTGCGTCCATTGCTGGAAGTATTATTCTTATCACCTGTCCTTTATGCTTCCAGCTCGTCTCAGTTTCCACCTGTATGACCTCTGCGTGCAGCAATGACTGCTTCTTAAATTACTCGTCTCAATTGAGGTGGCTTCTATGTGAGGTCTTCAACAAGTTTCACATCTTGCTCGAACGTCATAGTCCATAAGTGCATAAGTGATGTCTTGAGCTTGGAAAAGCTTTGTTATCTCCCTATTATGGGGTATCTCTTGGCTAAAGTCTTATAGCGGAATCAACTCTGACTTTAGCCACATTAGAGAAGTGAACCAGTTATTGACGCACGAACCAACTTCCTATATTTCGGCGCGCAAGCTCTAAAAGCACTTAGTGCTGGGCAGACCTTCTTTGTTTTTTCTATCTCATATCGCGCTTCTATCGTTCTTCTTCTTCTTTTTCTAAGTTAGCTCGATCACTGCCACAAAACTGTTTTTGAGAGGGGTGGGAAGTGGGCGAGGGTATAAGGTGCGATATCCGGATCTGATCTCCTATTTCCTTATCTTGTAACATAAATTTGAGAACTTTCGAGTAGCCTCAGGAGTGTGATTCAAGGATTTTTCTTCTTGCCCTTTACAATCATCTTTGTGACGAGCGCAAGTTCCAGGTCTATCCCAAGGGTCCTGATTAATTCTGGGGATACCATCGTCGAAGGCTCAAGGTCTCAGGAAGAAGGTTCTCAAGAAAAAGAAAGAAGAGAAAGCACTCGCAATGGGGCTTGGTGGAGGTAAAAAAGGAAAGGAGCCGGCGAAAGTGCGAGGTACCCCTTCTAAGCCGAACAGCCCTCCGTGCGTTGAGAAATCTTGAGCGATGGTGTGATCCCACCTCAAGGAAGCATGCGTCCTCGGGATGTCGCGTGGCCCCAATCCTATTTGAGCTTTCTTCGGGAGCAATTCAGGAGATCCGGATAGCAAACCAGCCAGCTTTCCCCGCTCAGTGTACAGCTGGGAAAATCCAATCAGTTAGAAGCAAATGGTCAGGGGGAGGGAGGGGAAGGTCGCACTGAAACTTCACTCCACGCTTCACATATGGCTGTTCTCTTGCGATGAGTGCGTATTGGGCTGAGGGAACTTGGTACCGACGCACGGACCGCTCATTGAAGATAATACTGATAGAAGATAATACTAGTATGGAGACGGCACATGGGTGTCACAACCCTCGAGCTCTGCAACCGTGCTTTTTTAAGAAGAGAAAGTGGCCTGCTAATGCAGCTGCGGACCAATTCGATCAGCTACGGGGCTGGCCCCGTGCCACACCGGCCTGTTCTTCCTGAACAAGATTTCAATTTACCGTCGAATACGATCTTAACACTAGTGCAGAATTTCAGGAAATTCACATGAGTCGTATTCTTGCCGTTCTATC